CAGGTTGTAGGGATTAATGAGTGGGGCTACATAAGCTACTGTTGCCATATTTCCTTTTACATACTCAATCTTTCCTTCTGGAAGGAGCTTTTAACTAATTCTTTAATTGACCCGTTTGTTTTGGGGCATAAAGCCTTTCCGCAGGTGTTGTCTCATTTGTGCACTAGGGCAAGTGTTGATACAGTAAAACAAGCAGTCGGTTCGCCAGCCAACTCTGATAACCGTTTATATCAGAGGATAGAAACTAACTCTGGATTGAGATCTTTAGGTCAAACCAACTGTAACTAACGTCAGTCCATCAACCTAGGCGGGTTCATAGGTGGATAAAGCAGACACACGGGGTTGTTTCCTGTGCGTCAATTAGGTCACAAACTGATTTATGTCATGATAAGGACTGCTCTTGGGGGTGGAACGCTACGGGCCTTAACAGCTCTCGCCCCAGTTCCACATTTCCGTTGCTGATTCTCCATCTCTCCAACGCCCCATCTGGCACTTTTGTCCAAAATGTGTATAAACCACGTCACAGGGTTTGTGGTGTCCATAAAGCATGACGAGACACGGGAGGGGGGCGCTGCATGCTCCCGGGTTTGCGTTTAACTGATGACAGGGGAGGCCGAGAGATAAAACTGTCGTTTTCATTGTTTGGGTTTTCTGTAGATGTGACGCAGCAGACTGTCAGCTAAACAGTAGCCGATAGTTTGTTTCGACAAATTAAATGTTGGTTGATTAATGACCCTTAAATGTTAAATAGACCAGATTGTAGGACTCTCAGTGGAGAGGCGCCGTTGAATATTTTCGTCGATTTTTCATTTATAGCTAATTCCCAGATAAAAGAAAAAGTTACGTATCAGTTTCCCTCTCTCACCGTCGATGGATGTAAATTAAAATGGTCCAGGTGGTTCCGCTCAATTCACTCTTACTTGACTTCGAAAGGCGATAATTTTGGCAAAATGTATATTTTTTGCGCATCTACAGTAAATGTGTTATATCATACAATGTCCGCAGTAATTCTGAAATATATTTTTATTTACAAGAGACTTCAGACACTTCAGGATGCCAGCTTTTGGACAAGATCCTTTAAGACCAACCGGTGAAAAATATTTATTTTAAAAACATACTTATTTTGTGGTATGCACCTTTCCATTGTTTTTCTATGTCCTTATAAAAGCAAATGCATTTTATAGAAAACGTGTAGGAAAATATCCTTTCTAGCACTCATACTTTTTAAATTGTATACGTGAAGAACTGGTAGCTTTTGATTCATAAAATTGTTTTGAATTGCCAGATACTTTGGAACCCTTGCATTCGGGGTTTCTAGACTGTAGGTACTTAAGAAGTCAAGTTAGGCGAACAAACGTTTTCGATTAATTCATCATCAGGCAATATAATAATATAAGGGAGGGTAGAGTTAACGAAAGTTTAAACAACAAATCAGTAGTAAATAGGGGAAAAGGGGGGGAGATGTAAAGGGATCAAAGGGGTCAGATTCTAGTCTTAATCGAGGACCAGAGAGGGAAGAGGGTGGGGGAGGAGCGTAAGAAAAGGGGTCCGACAATTTAGTCTCAGGGATGTCAGCCATTTCCCGGCGCTGTGGAGATGTCATAAAGTGCTCACTTAATTTTGCAATGAATGCAGACCAAGATGTCTACTTTATAAGTAGCATTAATACATGGACAGGTGCGACGCTTTAGAAGTGGACATTTAATGGTCTGTAAAATCTCATAATTAGGAGCTTTTTTAAAACCCAACGTCACCTTTTCTTCATGTATAACCTCTGAAAAGACATAATTTGTGGCCAACTAAGTACAAGAAGGTAAATTTATATGTAGTTTTTCTGGAAAATATAGTTGAATTTAAAGGCTCATTGGAACTGCGTGAGGAAGATTAATATTACTTAACTAGTGCTTTTTCACACAATGTAGCCCTTGCAATTGGCCGGAATGAAGCTCCTTTAAAAGCCAGTATCCTGGCGTGACTGAAATATTTTAGGGTAAGGCTGTACGATGATGTTACAACCGTACATAACTACTCTTTTTAAATCGAAGACACAATTTCAGCTAACATTTAATGTGATCTGAAATGGAATAAGTGTAGTCGGATTTAGATTTTATCCTTTAAAAGTCCTCCAAATTTTTCATGAAACGTTTCATTCGGGAACCTGACGACTGGCCTGCAAAAGTATTTATAGTACCCACAACAGCCAGTCAACCCTGCGTTGCATAACGAATGAACAACCTCCGACTTTATTGATCAACAGTGGACTCCTAGCAATAGACTGACTGACACATAAACCAGTAAACCCATGGAACACACAACCGAACTTTTTTTTAAATCCAGCCTCTTTCATACCCACCAATGTCCTTACGTAGGCCGCCCTGTTGTCATCGTTGGCCAGGGCAGCGTTAAAATGACACCTTATATCGGACACATGTCAGTTGATGTCAGAGCCGTTTAGTTTTCTAATTTAGCAAACTTGGTCGATCGAACGTGTCCCAGCGACCAGATCACATTCCAGTTACCGATCAAGGGATAGTCTTGACGGAGGACATTACAGTGACCGAGTCCTCAAATTGATGCATTTCCAGTGCGATCTCTGCGAAAAGTCATACCCACTAAAATAAGGCGTCCATGCTCATCGAATTCAAGTTCATTCGGGGAATGGGTTATTCCCCTTTCCCATTGACTGCATTTGTGGGCCGGCGTTCCTTTCCCTCTAACCACCCCTACTCCCCCTTCGAGTTCCCTCATTTCCCTTCTCCTCTTTACGCTGCCGCACTCATCTACTGTTCGACCATTTGACGAATGCGCAGATTTCGACCGTTCAGTGGTGGTGCCTTCTTTCCGTCGCAGTACGCGGACCCAAGCAGTGAGCGTTGGAATCCCGGTCGCCGCCCCCATCTTCTTGTTGCCGTGCAAAATCCTGGCCATATGTGGACTGTGACCAGCTGGTGTATGCTGGGCTGTAGTGGCACGCGGGCCTATGCCGTGGAAACTGCGACGCGTGTCGCTACCCCCCTTCATTTTGTTGTAGTGCTAAATTCCTGCCTAGGTATTTGCCCACGCGATCGCCTTATGAACAAAACGTCTGGATGCGGCTCTCTAGGCTGGGCTGTCTCTTGGCTTGGGGCCTATTTCACGTCCCGCATTGTAATTCGTTCAACGCAGCAAGCAGAAATCCATGGTCTTTCCAAACAACTGTAGAGTTCTCCAGGGTTCTATCTTATCCCCTCCCTTCACATTGACGACCTACGATCGCCAACTGACTGTTTGTACGTTAAAGATGCTGAGGATATGGTTGTTGGTCATCCTCCTGAAAGCCAGATAAATCTCCAGGTACTGAAAGGTGGCCTAGACGACGTCTCCCCATGTTCGTTAGCCAATTGTCTTCTGCTAAATAATCAGAACTCAGTATAGGGCGTTTTCCGATTACGGATTTCTCCTAGTCCTGAATCCTTAGACATCCTGCCCAATGAGGTATCCTCTTTCCGGTACCTCGGTGTTACTCTTCATTAAAATTCGTAAACTTCCATGTTATTTTCGTCGGCTACGTTCCTATCACACCCTCAAGCCCTAATCTGGCGATTTATAGATATCTGCATTCTCCTCCTCATTCCCTACTCTCCTTTGGTTATTTTTCCCACTTTGTTTAAAAAAGACCTGCTGACTTTTGGACGTATCCTCCGAATACTCTCTTCAGCAGCCTGGAGTTCTAATGCATTTTGGCTGACATTATAATACAGCGACACTTTAGAATGCTTATGCAATTTGCTGATCGCATTCTCGAGGAGGTTGCTCATTCTCTCAACTCTGAAATGATGACTGCGAAGTCTTCCCGTACTATACACCGAAGTCTCCGACACATGTCTTGCCGTACATCAGTATATCAGCGCTACGTATGCCCATTCCTAGCACGCTACCTCACGTGTCAAGAAACGGAAATCCAAAAGTTTAAATTATACCTGCCTCACTAATAGATGGAGATTTTATGTAAACCTCTTATTTTTGACTATTTTATTACCTTATCCCTTAGTCTCAGTGAATGGAGCTATCTTTGCTGAAAATTTTGGATACTTAGGTTCAAAATAAAGCGTATTTTTCTCTCTCTGTGCTATAGAGCGGAGAGCGCGGTGGTACACTTAGGTAAGTAATTTCGCCGTGGCAGCTATCTGCCTCCTCTCCTACCTCTGGTCTTGATTCTGCCATGATATCGAATCCGGGTGGAAGAGGAGGAAGTGCGGCACATTCAGTGCAAGTCTATGATCATTAGGATATAACTCACACGCAAGTTACCACGTTTGTTTCCAGCTTGTCATGAATCAAGTGATGGAGATAGTCTAAATTGACTACCGAAATGTCAGGTCAGAAAAGGCTCGGCAGGCCAACTAATCTGGGGTGTCAAAGCTTACAGATCATTATCCTTTGAGAACTGATCTTGAACGCAGGGAATTAGAAAAAAACACCTATCTCCTTATGGTCTAAAATCTGGCAAATTTGTTACACGGGATGAAAACGTCTGAAAATGTTTGTGAGTCCAATGTTCATTTTGCCTCTAAAAAGCTCGATTGCGTGTTTCCTTCCACATAAAAGTTTTAGGCATACCACAGAATGTTAATCACATGAATTTTTCTTCAGTGATCAGTTTTCAAATTAAAGGATACTGGAAATGCATACCATACGCCGAAAGCGTCTGCTTTGCAGAAACATTAGGTAAGGATGGCTTGTATGACCGCCTAGACAGGACACAGGAATATGAACAAACCACCCACTTAAGATAGTGGTCTTGCGAGAAATAGTAGGTCAGGTACATCGTCCCATGTTCTAGTTCTAACAACCACCTTAGCATAAAACTAAACTGTGACCTTAATCTTAATCCTAATCCTACCCCCGCCCTAAACCCAGTAATTAACAAGAATCCACACATTAACCCTCCTGACACTAGCCACAACCTTAAACCTAACCCCCAAATTAACCCTAGCCCTCATCGTGATCCTAAGTTCTCTGGAATTTGGCACAGAACCATATTTGTTATAGGCGGTTTCTTCTCGAATCTCCTGGTTAGGCGACCATACAAGTCACCTTATTCTCCAGTACTTTAAATCCGTGGATTTTGTTAGAAAAGTTTCAGCTACAAGAATACAGATTCTGAGGCAACCAGTCCTTGTTTCCGGCATCATGTAATCAAACAGGCATATCCGGATTCGGATTACAGCATGACCGATTGACAATCACCTTGTGCTCGAGCCTGTCGGTGGTGTTGGATCCTTAAAAGTAGGTAGACGCATCCAAATCCCACCAAATAAACATTTTTCAGCAATCGAAGCTCGCGAAGACACGCAGGTGGCAGCAGCTATTCTCGCCTGTCCTGACTTTTCTCGCCTCACCGTCCACCAAAGCCCTGGGGCCCGACACCCACGCGCATCGTCAAGTGAATGTGCACCTGTTCCGATTAAGCCTACTTTAGAGACTAGCCCCCTATTGCCCCTATTGTTTCAGGCACGTCTGAATGTCATAGGACCAGTTGATGTCATCGGGGGTGAGCAAACATAGACGGTTAAGCCAACATTTTGGCGGAATGTATGCAACAAAGACAGAACATCGGATTTTTCTGCCAGCATGGATAAGCAGGGCAGGGGGAGGGGGGTGCGGCTAATTGGTCTTCCTTTATTAAAACGCACAATCACACAGTGTTTTTCCCCGAAAACAGGCAGATAGTATTGCCGGCAAAGACATGGAGA